CAGCACATACTGAAGATGTATAGTGGGTATGGCATAGAGCTCAGCATAATCCAAACCTGTATACTAAATGAATGTGAGTTGTCAGTGTGTGCTTCGGCCGCCTTATCCCCTCGAAAGAGCCCCGAAGCAGGCCGACATGTAATGGCGAAGATAAAGATCACGTGTCCTGCCGAGAGTCTAACCCCGACCGTCAGTAATTAATCACTTTAGTTATTGAATTTTTATATGTTGGCCTGTATGTGCGCGAGTATGCTACAGTGTAATCTGGAATTCAGTATTGCGCATTAAACATGGAAATCGTTTTGTAGAAATGCAGTTTTCTAAACAAAACCGAAAATATCTCATTTCATCTTAGAAAATCCAAATGTAGAATGTTGTTAGTAGTGAACATATTGTGTCCTGCGTGACACTCTAAATTTGCTTCTAGTAAAGCGGGGACTTTGATGGAGATTATAGTTTCATTTCAAATGGTTAGGGAAGAAGGTACGCGCTCTGGAATTGTCTTTCCACACGCTGGATGTTTCTCTCCCTTCTGGTACATCTGCTGCGATTATGAAGCAGTGCTTGCAGATGGCAAACTGGGATCGATTGTACAGATCGTCTTTTGTTCCCAGTTTATACAGCCTCTCCTCACTTTTACTCAGCAGTAGACATCTATGGCATCTGGAAATATTGTTCTGGCTTGTGATGATGGTCTTCCGGGTTGTAACGCGGTGTGTACTTGTAGGTAGATACCAACGTTTCGGGTAAACATATGTCGAAACAGGGAGCATTTTAGTCCAGGTTCGAAGCGTCATTGAATACAGGACTTTTTTCGCCGACAGGCCTTTGTAAAACTATTTTAATCAACTGTTTAAAAATTTAAGTTAACGCAAATTATTGTTATTACAAAAATGATGTTAAAATAATAATACGACGCTATCAGTGACAAAAATAAGATAATCAATCAATGAAGAATTTTATGTCAAAAAACGACAGAACAGATTTATTTAAATGTCAGTTGCGATTTATTTCGTATTAAAATAAACAAAACGTGTTTACGTTACGAGAAGTTTTAGTTATTTTAAACTAGAGACATTAAGTATGTTGGCCTGTTCTCAAGTTGAAGGAACATGGGGTATGGTTCAAGCGGAAGACCTCGTAGTATCGCAGCTAGCGGTCTGCATTGGCCTGGGCCTGGGCGTGGTAGCACCGATAAAGTTCGGGTCCAGATCGGATTCTGGCCTGCTTCAGAAAGCAGCGTTATACACAGCATTTCGAACTTTCTTTGGCAGTTCTTTTTTCCCCATCAAAGTATAAGGTATTTGTGTTTGCACCCATCGTATGCTCGTGACACAGTCGGGCTCCAGAAACAAATCCCGCCGATTTGATTTTCTTGGGGATTTTGTAACTGCCTCCTCCCAGAAACAGTCGGAGTTAGCGCCCTACAAACTTGGTATCCGATATACTTGCACATAATATAACTTCAGATGTTCTTAGGTCTTCGTTAATTAATTCACTCAAGGATTACTGGTATTTATGCATTAAAGGAAAAATGCATCAAAGGACAAATCGGATTGTAGATAGACCAGGAGGCTCGGGCTAGAATAAAAGGAAGTCGGGCTTCGGTCGGGTACGGGTAACATATTTGAAGATGAATATTGGGCTTGGGCCAAATGATTTTCAGGTCAGGCCGGGCGAAATTCTAAAATTTTGGCTCGTGCAGGCCGCTGGTCGTAGCCTCGTATAGGTCGATTACTGTGAGTCTGGACATGGCCTTCAACCCCGCACACGCAGTGGAACTCGCGACAAAGCAACAGACTTTTTCGCTCTCAAGGTCATACGTTTTCTTACAGCGATGCATCTCGAGCTTTATCGCTGTCGATGCGTCTAACAGTCAGTCACCCGCCATCATATTTGAAAAAGAGTGTAGTTGAAATTTTTCCCGCACATTAGAAGTGATCATTGTGGCGCCTTGTCTAAACGTTGACACTTAAAAGATAGCGAGACCTTTTACGAGGTACAGCTAGTTCGGTGGGGCTTGACCTATGACCTTGAGTTTTCGGTACACACTTAAGTTGAGAACTCCTCCAGGTCGTAGCTCATGTCCCATGCATTTAGCTGTAACTTCGCACAAATGCATAGGTTAAAATTTATAAATACTGACAAAAATGATTCTGTGGAAGGTTGGCGGATTAATATTGTTTCCAGTGGTGGAGCCAGCTGTCATCCTCATGAGTGGCACGCAATGTTTTGACTGTCCTCTGTGGGTCACGTGAAGCAACACGTGGTCGCTCCGCTACGTGACTTGACTTGTCCATCACGTCCGATCTTCAGCCGTTCCCGACGAATGGTTTTACCTGTACACAAACATTCTCCTTATATGTTTCATAAATTTTTATTTGTAGCCAGTGCCTCATTGTATTACTTAGACCTGTCGGATCGCAATTGATCTACCCTCTTACCTCATTTATTCGCTTGAATCAAATTATCGCGATTGAACGGTTTAGGGACATTTCTAAGCGTGGTCCAGAACTGATCATTCTAATATAATGTAACAGATAAAAGTACTTCTAAATACAAGGCATGATTCATGGTAATTATCATCTTCATCAAGGATTAGTTTTATTAGACCGTTCCGTCTCCAAAGTTTAACTTACAGTTGGTCCTTTCGTCGTTGTGTATCAAACTTTTTTTCTCTTGTAAGATTTGAGGTTTTCACGGCGGTGAGTATGAAGATTTCTGTCTTCTGGGTGTTTGCGTTGTGTAGTCATCGCCCTGATGACGGAGGCAGTATGACCTCTGAAACGTTGGTAAACATCGACCAGACTACACAGCGCAACAACCCAGAAGACAGAAATCTTTATTTTTCTCTTGTCATTTGCACATCCTGGTGAAATATTTTAACAAATATTTTATCATCTATTCTTTCTATTTGGTAGAACAATTTCGTTTTGTTTTCAACTCTTTATTTCGAACGTCAAACATGTTTGATTGTTGTTTCATTACATGGTATGTTCTGTAAAATGTAACAGTCCGTAGAGACTTGATTTCATCTGTTTCAAATCGTTTCGTGTGTTGTTTAATTAGAGTCTAGCACTCTCATATATAGAGAAAAATGGTTACCACCATTGCTTTATAAAACGTTCAGAAAGTCTCTAATCGAACGTGGTAGCCAATTTGTTATCACTCCTCTTTGTATTCTGAAGTCCGGGGTTAAAATCTTAGCCCGGTGGCCGATTGTCGTAAGTTTCTTCAGTCCATCCAGGCAGATTTCGGGAAAGTACCACGGCCGCTTACTTCCACATCCTTTCCAATTCACTCTTATGCTCTCGGTCGATTCTGCGTAGTCTGAGTCTGTAAAATGGGGAAATGGTCGCTGATGTAGTTGGTTCCAAATTATAAGCGGATTGAGTGGCGATTTTCAAATTGTCGCGAATTGGAAAGAGTCGAGCGCTGAAGCTTTCGAACATGTTTCGCTTAAAGCCATTTTATCGTTTGTATTTCTGAGCTTTTGTTTGTGTAAATGCAGCTCACATTCTATGTATGGTCCTGAATATACTAGCTCAGGATTGCGATCATTAACGGGGATATTTGTTAGTAGTGATTAACCTACTTATTCTATTAGCTTGCGTAAGACTTACCTTATTCAATTACTTAGGTAGTTAATTAGTGTATTTATATAGTTATATCTTAAACTTGAGTGACTTGTATTCGTTTCATACTCTGTGATAGATTGAACGCGCCACGAATGCACGAAACATTTTGAGTTTTGAGATAAGGAATAAAGTAGTACAGCTAGACACGTCATACGTTGCTATCGTGGGTGATTATAAACGCGTCTGAAATTTTATATGAAGCAAGAAAAGGTATGTTATGTCAAGTCACAGTTTTGTTGTTTTTTCCTGCCACGTTAGATAAATGTTTGATGTAAAAGAATTGTTTGTGGAAACCTTACACAGTAGGCTGCTTGTTTGAAATGTTTATATTCGTAGCGTTTATGCATATGGTTCATCGATAAAACGTTGAAAGCTACAAAAGAGCACAGAAGTATATACTAATACATGTTTTTGTATTTTGTTAAAAATATTCGCGACTCAGAAATCATGTGAGGTTGATTAACATAATCATGCCCAGAACATCGCTCACTTTAAACTTTATTTATGATATGTGTGGATTATTTAACGATGCTGTCAGAAGCTCAGATTATATAGCGTCCACTTATGGGATAATTAATGAATAGTTAATTTGAAGGCGCAAGGAATAAAGCTGTCGTGGCCTAATTTAAGTGCTATTCCAGCATTTAGCGGAAATGACTTAAGAAAACTGTGAAAGACGTCAGTTAAGTTAGTCAATCCTAGGCCGAAATTTGAGCTCGTGATTCCTCGAATACGGAGCAGGAGAGCTAACCACTCGACCGCGGCTTTCGGAATAATAAATTGCACTCCGAAACCCAAAAACATTCCATATTTTTATCATGGAGAAAACGTGGCACATTTACAGCCCGTTAAAATAATGGTATTTATAACGTGTCCATTTTTACTGTGAAAATACGTTGCAAGTGGTTTTATGTGAATTTATTCCAGAGTAAATAACGGCCATATGACAGTAAAGCGTATAAATGGTTATATATAACTGTATTTTGATGCCATCTCCAGGCAATTGTTTGAAGCACCGCACCCCGTCTCGTTCTATCGATTTATCTTCACGAGCAGGTTTAAGAATATCCGCTAGATGGCAATACAGTTCCAATATGGAGATGTAAGGTTCCCGCGGCGGCGAGTACGAAAATGGCTGTCTTCTGGGTTTTTACGTCGTTTCAGAGGTACCCTGAAACGTCTACCAGACGACAGGACGCAACAACCCAGAACATAGCCATATTCAGAGTAGCGGGGACAACCTTACTTGAACTTACTTGATAATGTGCGTATCAAGTATATATTATTGTGTTATATCTTGTTGATAATGCGGATCTAAATACTACTGACTTCAGAACCTGACTGTAGTAATTTATTTTGCAGCTGTCGGAGTTGGAGCAGAGGGTCGTGGAGGCAGAAAGCCGTGCCGAGGAAGCTGAAGACAGGGTATGTAACACAAGTCACGCACATGACATCCTGCCAGGCTTTTAACTACACGCCTACATTAACAGTATAGAACGTTACGAAATTTACAAAATTATACATTAATTTTAAATTACCGTAAGGAAGTGAATGAAATTAATGAGATTGCTTGTCCCGATCTAGTCAACATTGAAACTACATCGTGAGAACAGCTTAAGATGTGAAATTATTCACAAAATATTTGCATAAGCTAAGTTTAAGGCGAATATTGAGTCAAAATACATGGACATCTAACATTTCTTTTTATACAGTGAACTGCTTTAAGAAATTTAGATACATGTATGGTTTCTAACTATGCTGTCACTCGGCTTGAGCGTCAAATGATAGGATGCCTAATAAATGATGAATTGCAAAGAATGTGGAATGATACAGTCGTGGCCAAATTTAATTTACCTGAGCCTGGGACCTTTGGAATACGAAGCGGGAGTGCTAACCATTGTTATTTTAGACCCCCCTTACAACAAAATCCGTTAGGAATTTTGAACATACACGACATCCCGATTCTTGTAATAAATTATTATTATTTTATTTAGTGTTCTGTCTGACGACAGGTCCATACGGACAGGATCCTTCCATCCTTTACTCGGACTGGGACCTGTTCATATACGTTCTTGGCAGATGATCCAGAAGTGGTTTGCCATTGCCTTCTTCTGTGTGTGAATGGAGTAATTGTGGGGATGCCACGGAGGAAAACTCCGTGTTGCCTAGACCACGGCCTTGCCCAACACAAGTTATAAATTCGGGCACCGCCGGGAATCGAACCCGAGACCCTAGGATTACAAGGCCAGCGTTTTAACCGCTAGACCACCGTTGCTGTATTTATGTATTTGCTCGTGAGTCAGTGAGGCAAATGTGTGCAGTGACCGGATGCAAAGGTTTGTTCCCGGATAAACACAGGACTAGACTGGAGACGGCTTTGCAGACTGCGTGGCGTCTGTTAACCTCCTCGCCATTGATCGTACACAGCAGGTTTCCTCAGCGTTACCGCGACTGACTTGTAGTGAGAAGAACCCGGTTACAGCCCCATTCGGGACAGCGACTGCTCTGAGGTTTATCTAGGTTTTCTTCAACCCTGCAACATGTTGGGATAATGTATCGGGTGATTAGCGTCCAAGTAATATATTTATGTTTGCAGTATCCGAATATCAAGTCCTGCATTGTAAGATTTGTTTGAAGTAAATTAAAAGTTGCCGATATTTATTGGGCCTGAGATGGCTGTCTTCTGGGTTTACAAACGTTTCAGAGGTCATTGCTGCCTCCATGATCAGGGCAGAAATTTTCGTGGTGCCTGTATTTGTGGATTGTGGGTTATGACATATTGTAGTTTTGTAGGTGGTTCGTATCCCTCAGTATTCTGGTTAGAAAAATTCAATCTTAAAGATATGTACCTCTGAAACGATGGTAACCACCTGTAAGACTACGTTCCACATTTTCACCGTCGTGAAAACCTCACATTTCATACAGGCGTGTATGTCTTCCATGTTCTGACTTCTTAGCAACATGGCCGTCTTAATGCCAGTTTTAATAAAAATCCATTCGATAATTTCGAAGGTGACGGACAAATGGATGAACTGTAAACGGTAGACCTGCTTTCCCATTACGTATTCATCCGGTTCGTACAAGAAACTTGCGAAGAGTGCACACACACACACGCCCTGCAAATAATAGTAAACCACTTGAGAAACTATAATTGCTTTATCGCCCACCAATCCGTGCATTTATTTGTGTGTTTTTACGTTGACATTTGCCGTTAGCCGAATGAAAAAATATGAGCAGTCTTACTCGTATTGAAAATTAAATAAAAATTGTTTCTTGTAATGTTGCGCGGCAGAAGGCCGTTGTGTCAGATGGACATCAACTTTGTCATAGCTGGTGCGCAGTTGCCATTGCCAGGTGTCCATATGCGGTGCGTGGCGACGGACATGTGCTCTACGTACGCTACTAACTTTCTTGAAAATATCGACTATCGTGTTGAACATAATGCACAAAGGTGTTCTTGTTAATTCCGTTCATTATTTGTCTTTCACACACAGATGATTCTGTCAGGCGTTTGTTATTAAGTGGTTTCGGTCTGCATTTGCCGAGAGTTCGAACGAATCGCGTATTGGATCTGTAGACCGCGGTGTCAAGTACAAGACATTGGCATATTTCCGTGTTATGGAATTATCGCAAATTTAAAAGAGTCCATGTACGATAGGGTGGTTGATACAATGCTCCAAATGTAACGAAGATCCCTATTGGGTGAAAGTGGTTGCTATAGAAACGCCTGTCATTTTGTACTCATTGATTTTTGTTGCACTCGGTTAGTTGTGGGTTGCTCCATGTCAGGGGTGTAGGAGGGGTACATGACTTAGGGGAAGGTTTCAGTAGTAAGGGAGGGAAGAGGATTGCATGATGTAGCTTTGTTGTGAGTGACTGGCTTGGTGAGGGCTTTCTTCTGTTTTGCTCTGTACAATTTGTGACTATAATCAGAGCAGGATGGCGAGGTGACAGAAGGAGGAAGGCTGCCGTCTTAGAGGATAGTAAGTATACAGTGAAATACAGCCTGATTCTTGGCTTTATCTACATTTTATAATTGGGTGGCTTTTGATAAAGCAACTGCTGGCCTACATATACAAAATCATTCTGGCAGGTCAATGTGGACAAAGTGTTTTATTTCTCGATGACGCCATATTTGATTCTACAAAGTTCGTTGAATGTCCTTTCGTACGACAGAGCGAAATGTTTATTTCGCATAATAGTAAGGAGGGTGCAGGGGAGGAGTGTGTGC